CATAGCGAAGCAAGGCAGTTATAATTAAATGTTTGGCAGCAGATGGCTGAATCGGCGAAGAAGGTACTTGTTTTGTTTCCTGCTCATAAAGTCGCTGAACTGCCTGATAAAATGGTTAGTTTGGGCCAGAGGGACTCGTAGAAAAGGTAAGTTATTGGCTAGTGCGGCGAATCTCTCAGAAGGTGATGAATGGAGAGTGCTAAAAGGTATTGATATTCTGCATAGTGCGACGCGTCTGAGCAAATAATTGGAATTCCTAGTGTTTCATAAGCCAACCTTTCCTTTCCGAGCTCATTAGTATTTTTCTCTAATTGAAGTTGGTTGAACTTTGTGCAATACGTTGCTATGGGAGATTTGTGAATGTTTTCTCAACAAATGACCCTGGATCTTGAGTGACTTCACGTCAAAGTTATCCTATTTATTTCTCATAGCAAATTTTTTTTATTAACATCCTAATTATTTATGATCTGGTTACTATTATACAGGTTTACTAACTCAAGACTGGCTCATTCAGGCCGTGGAATTACCCTGTGATCGAAAATGTTGGTGCATAAACTTTCTCATCTTTTCTTTTCTTTCTTTTCGTCTGCATTAATGAACAATTTGCGCTATATCAATATCATGGTCAAGTGATGCTAGTCATCTTAATTGATTGGACATCTTCAATACGTCACCTATCAGCTATGCAGACCGGTCCTGCAAACAACTGAACTCGACTCTTACTATCCTGTTATTTTATCTGCCCGTGCCGAATCCAAAGGAAGTTCAATCAAAGTGACCCTAACCCTCTCAATATCAATTTTATGGCAGAACATTTAACAGAAATAAGAGCTTCTAATTCTCATGGTTGAGCCTTTGGACGGACAAGTGGCGGTGAGACGCAGTTATGGAAAAGAGAGTCATGATATGCAGTAAGTGCAATGTATAATGAGAGTATCCATGAACCTACAACTCTTCACTGCCATAAAGATCAAGAGACATCACAGAGTGTCCTGTCTCAGTAACTATGCAACTAGAGTGGTCATGTTGGATATTAGCGGGACGGTGTTATTGAGCGAGAGTTGTTGAGAGGTGGAACTTGCCGGCGGAGCATGCCTCATCTCATTGATGATCGGAGGTTGAGATGGGCTTCATCATATTGGAGAGGACAGTTCTTGGACTAATGGGGTGAGAGGAAGGAAATTGTCGCAAGTAATTAGGAACATTAAGACTGGCGACATTGCAATTTCCTACAAGCACATCTCAAGACAATCTTAACAGAGAATTGTCACTGCCTCTAAGTCGGTAATTGCCGTATGGAATATAAAATTCAACATTACATACTAGAACACAGAATTTACTGCCCGTTACTGTTGATGAAGAAGTGAGACTCGTACTTGAAATGAGCTCTCTAGCAATGGAAAGAGAGAAGTTGAGGACCAACCGCAACGCATTTCGCTCAATCAAGTTGAATGTCCCGCAAGAAAATGAGGTACCAAGTTACAATTTCCGCATAATCAAGTGAGATTATTGGCAGAGCTTCTCAGAGCTTCAGCTTTTTCTTAGAAGTTGAATTGTTCAGCATTCCTGCATATGGTTCACCAAGAGTTGAATGGTCGGAATTCATACTAAAACTTGACTACAGATTTTGAACAATCAATCTTACATTAATTCGCAAGTGGGGGATGTCAATTTAATGTTGCGCGATTGTATCAAAGGAAATTAGAATAACAAAGACGTATCATCTGAGCTCCAAAGCTAGAAAAGAAAATAAAACAAAACAGAAGAAGGAAAGAATTGAAAAAAAAATAAGAGGAAGAGAAGGCTCGGCAGCATCTAACTATGTTAGTTCAGAAACAACTGGTGCCATACCGATATCGTTATCTGTAAAGCATGCAAGAAAGGTCAACGAGCGTGGCGAATCGAAAACTCATGCCTGCATAGGACTGCAGAAAGTGAACTGCCTCTTGATATCTCGCAAACTAAGAGCAGAAGGTTGCCTGGCCTGGATAAAATCTCTGAGCTATCGAAATCTCAGAACCTAAACAGTGATGACTCGCTACAGGTGCTGCAACAAGGAAACAGTAGTACTTTAACTAGTTGGGCAGCTGGAAAAAAAACAAAGCAAACAACGATACCAATTGAAATTTCCTCTGCGCTTTTGAACAAAAGAATAATTGGGTTAAAACAAAAAGAAAAAAGAAAAACATCTGGAGGAGAGATGCAAGAATAAACACAGCAGATATCCGGAGCGGCTTTTTAGGCCAGAAGCAAATATTTTTTGAACCGAAGCGCCAATGCTACGCTCAAGATTGACTGTTTTATACAGAAGCTACTCTCCTTTTCTGAGCACTTTGTGTCCATCTTACCCTCTCGATTAAACTCTTCCGTCGCTACAATCTTCCCTGTCTTGCGCACTTTGCGTGTTTCAATCGTTACATTAAAATCTCTACCGCCCAGCTGGAGGTCGTCCGCGGCAGCTAATTGGATGCGAGGCTAATGGCAGGGCCCTGATTACTTCTGGTTTGTCTTGCCTGGAGTGGGTGAGTTCGATTAACAGAGAACTCAGAACCGATTAAGGACAATACTCGACCAAGAATGCTATCTCATGCAAAAGGTGGGAATTCTAAACCTACAACCCAACAACAAGAACAACAACAAAGCTTTTATGCAAAACATTCAGGTTGGCTAGAAGAACCCTTTGTTCCTGTCCAACCTTTTTATGAATCTCCTTCATTAAAATTTTCAAACGCCAAACCTGCAAGGACAGAAATCTTGAAGGCAGCACAGTCTCCCCCAATTTTAGATATCAATTCAAAGGAATCCAAAGACTGTACATTCAATAGTAACTGCATAAAGGTCCACAGGAGATGACACCACAGCCATCTTGCAGAGATACACAATCTTAGTGTGTTCGCATGCTAAAACAAGAAAACAACTGTACACCACGGAACAAAAATTGCATCTTTTACCTTCACATCGGCTCAGGAATGGATATAGTTGCACGAGGCTCCTTTCTTGCAGTACCCATGTCTGTGGAAGTTGCAAATTCCTCTCTGCTCTCCCTCGCCACCGCCATTCTGATTTGAAGCACCACCATTCATACTTCCTTGTCCAGTTCCCTGCACAGGTGTTCCCCAAGCAGCATTCTGATTTGTATTTCCTTCTGTTGGTGCAACCCAAGATGGACTTGGGTTTGCACCCCCAATGACAGGTGCAAACCAACCAGGATTAACTGCTGCTGGATTTACCTGCATTGGCATTCCCCATCCAGCATTAGGGTTTGCCATTGCCTGTGCTCCCCAAGCCAAATTAGCATTTACATTTCCCTGCGTTGGAATTGCCCAACCTAGGTTTGGGTTCATAGTTGGCTGAGCTGGCGGGCCCCACCCC